AGCTAATGATGACAGCCCTTATATAACTCCTAAAATCACCACCCACTAGGAATGTTTAACACCTGGGTGCTTATTTGCAAACAATCGATTTGCATAACCAAATAATTTCTGCACAAACTGTCAGAAACCGTCTCAGGGAAGCTCATCTGCATGCTCGTCGTCCTCATCTGGGTCTCGACCTGACTGCAGTTCGTCATCATAACCGACTTGAGTGTGCAAAGGTTCACATTCCATGGTGTCTGGCACTTTCTCTTCACAAATGAATCCTGGTTATCAGATGTACAGGGCAGATGGCAGACAGCGTGTATGGCGTCATGTGGGTAAGCAGTTTGCTGATGTCAACATTGTGGATCGAGTGGCCCATGGTGGCGGTGGGGTTATGTTATGGGCAGGCGTATGTTATGGACAATGAACACAGGTGCATTTTATTGATGGCATTTTGAATGCACAGAGATACCGTGATGAGATCCTGAGCCCATTGTTGTGCCATTCATCCACCATCACCTCATGTTGCAGCATGATAATGCAGGGCCCCATGTTGCAAGGATCTGTACACAATTCCTGGAAGCTGAAAACATTCCAGTTCGTACATGGCCAGGATACTCACCGGACATGTCACCCATTGAGCATACAAGTGTAGAATATGTGAGAAAAAACATTTATTTAATTACAACTCTGTTTTCCTATCGGTAATTTCATTAATTGGTAAATGATTTCGTTTTTTTAAATTCCTCTCCATACAAAATTTGTTTCCATTAAAAATGCACAATATAGGTATACTGAAATGAAAAATGCTTTTAAACATTACTTTCCAGGACATTCAAAATACTCAGATTCTGGGGATGTTTTTTCTGCAAACTGCTTGGTAGTGAAGGGGTTAATTATTTTGTTTGCACTCTATAACTTAGTCAGTATAGTATGTAATTAAACATGTCTTAGGTATGTTTTATAGCCTCATAAAAGGTTTTTTTTTTCATAGTAGTACTGTATGACAGATATAATAGTTATCAAGGTGTTAAATACTTATCTGATACTTTAGTATTTTAATATGCCTTCATTGAGACTTTTAATTTACCTATTGCAAGGTCAAGAGTAAAATAATTAAAGAACAGGAGTGTCAGGATAATTGAGATATTCAACATTCAGAATGAATTCATTTAAACAATATATTAGCATTTTTTTGCGCTCGATATATAATCTATTTTACCTTGCAAGTGTAGTATAGCGTTTTATATATGTACATATTTGTACTTAAATTTTTAGTTTGGAACTAAACTAATAACAATTTACACTTAATACTATTTACACGTAATACTATTGTTTACAAGTATATATTTCATATTTATTATTTTATTCACCCTGCAGGAAACCCCTTAGTAAGTACATAAAAATTATGTTTCCATAGTTGCTGGTATCAGTATCACATTTACTAGATTGTTAATGTTTTAGAAGAAGCTACGGAGAGAACATATTTATAGGATTGATCCCTCTCTACTCTCTCTCTAACATTGTCTGGGAATGTAAGGGGACAGATGCGAGAGTCATTATCCTGGTTAGGTTTTCTGGCCATCAAGACATTCATCAATATTTGAGGGGATGGGAAATATAATAAAAATCTGATGACAATGATTTAAGAAACATTTTTTTTTTTTTTATATGGCGCAATGGCTGGGAGAAAGGGAAATTTGTTTTGGACCATTGTTGGGAAGTGAAATTGCTAAATGTGAATAGGATGAATGGCAAAAGGAGGTTCTGTACATATCTCTATGGGATGGGAGGTATGAAGGATGTGTGGGACTAGTCAGAAGAAGAAATGGATTTTAGTTTTAGTAAGACATGAGAAAGAATGGGGTTTGAATGGGGAAAGAACAGAAGGAGATGTGCAACATGGCAGAGAGAAAAGTCAAAGGTTGTTATAGAACATGGAGGTGAGGGCACAGGTAGGTTTCAGTCATGAGAAGGATGGAGGGCATATGTTGGTATTGTGTACAGTTGAATAATGTTTAAACCATGATGGTGGGAGCATGATGAGGTGAGGAAAAGGGTTTGATTGGAATGGGAGTGACATAGTTATTGTAGTAACCCTAGCTAACATATCCATCATCAGTTTAACATTGATAACTAACCAGACTCCTAGTGCCCTTTTTATAATGCATCAATGATGATAATCTGTGATATGTCTTTAGCCACATGGATATAGTATGTGTGTATATTTAAATTTGTTCAAAACAAACATTTCAGGTATTTTGTCATTGATGTGTTTGCTGTTTTATATATCGTTGTTCCACTGCAATTTGTCTTTCATTTGCTTTATTAGAAAGCCCTTCCCTTCCTTTTTGGACAGGTGGGATTATCTGGTCCTCTCTGTTGAGTAGCTCCATTCTTTGGCTGACCTCCCCTGCACCATAGCAGACAATCAAGATGGCCACTGACTTCCTGCCAAATCAGACAGATGCAGGATATATCGCACTCAAAATTGGTTGCCTCCCTCAATTGGACCAGTGGGCCATAAGTGGTCCACCCCCTCGGCCTTCTGCAGAGCATCTCAGCCAGGAGAATTAGGTTCTGGAACCTAAAGTCACCCTTACTCTCCTCCACTCATCTAGGTTGCAAGTGTTCAACAAATGTACTGCTGTGCCCTGCCTGCATCTTTGGAGTTTTTCTGCAGGTGTCACTGGAATATTCCTGGATGAACCACAAATCTTCTCCAGAACAGTACCCTTGGCACAAGTTTAAGTCTGTCTAGCAGGTTTTAAGCACAGGTTTAGTTCCCCATCTGGTTCTGACAGAGGGTACTTTCTGTCAACTCTCCGCACTTATATTGTACTATTATCGACTCTTTATGGCTAATTCTACAATTCTACAAATCTGTCATTCACAGTTGGCTCCAGCAGTTGTTTACTAGTCTATCTCAGCTCGATTCTAAACTCAGACTTTACCTTAAAAAAATAAGGTATTTCAGTTCATTAGAAATGTGCTATGATTTGCATTGTCCTGATAACCATTTTTCTTGTCTCTTTCTAAGTTTTGACAATATCTTAAAACATTGATGGACAAAAGAAACCTAAGGAATTAATATTCAAAGTCTGTTGCATTACTTCCACATCACCTCCTCAAGTAATTGTATATGTATATGCGTATAAATGTAGCAAATTTAATAAATGTTTCAATTATTGAGGCATAGTGGCGTATTCTATAGTTAAACCATTTTATATATATATATATATATATATGTATTAAGGCAGTTTTGCCTGTATTTGTGGGAGGGGCTTAAATTAATTCACTCCCCTATATAAGGGACACCCCTTACCTGACTCATATCGCTTGAGGTCAGCATCAGAATGATTTCCACTTCCGGGTCATCCAGACGCCATTTTACCTGATTACTCCATGAGGTTTTCTAAGCTGAGCTGTGTCAGGAATGCAGCCACAGGCTTTTCCGGCCTACCACCTTCTTTCTTCAATCTATCGCTGTGTATGGTGTCCAAGTGACTCACAAACCGTAAGTTGACCTACCCATTACGCCAGGCATCAGTCCCACGGCACCATGCACGGGTCAGGTCCTCACTTTACTGCTGCATTTTGTCTAAGTCTGTTCTAAAACCATTGCATGTTCATGCATATCATTCGATTAAACCCCCTACTGGTCTTTGGGTGTACTACAGACTTCTTAGACATTATCGCATTTCATGTACAAACCAACGAACCACTGCATCTTTGCCTACACACTGACCCCTACCAGTCATTCGGTGTACTACAGGCTTCTCAGACATTATTGCATTTCATGTACAAACCAACGAACCACCGCATTTTTCACCTACACACTGACCCCTATTGGTCATTCGGTGTACTACAGGCTTCTTAGGCGTTGTTTGCATTTTCATGTTCAAACCAATAAACCACTGCATTTACACCTACACACTGACCCTTACTGGTCTTTCGGTGGACTACACGCTTCTTAGACATTATCGCATTTCATGTACAAATCAACGAACCACTGCATTTGCGCCTACACACTGACCCCTACCGGTCATTCTGTGTACTACAGGCTTCTCCGACATTATTGCATTTCAGGTACAAACCAACAAACCACTTAATTTTTCACCTACACACTGACCCCTATCAGTCATTCGGTGTACTACAGGCTTCTTAGACATTATTGCTTTTCATGTACAAAACAATAAACCACTGCATTTTCACCTACACACTGACACCTACCAGTCATTCTGTGTACTACAGGCTTCTCAGACATTATTGCATTTTATGTACAAACCAACAAACCACTGCATTTTTCACCTACATACTGACCCCTATCAGTCATTCGGTGTACTACAGGCTTCTTAGACATTATTGCTTTTCGTGTACAAAACAATAAACCACTGCATTTTTACCTACACACTTACACCTACCGGTCATTCATTGTACTACAGGCTTTTCAGACATTATTGCATTTCATGTACAAACCAACGAACCACGGCATTTTCGCCTACATGCTGACCCCTACCGGTCAATCGGTATACTACAGTCTTCTCAGACTTTATTTCACTTCATAAGCAAACAAACTAACTACAGCATTTTCGCTTTTATACTGTCTCCTATCTGTCAAACGGTAGGATTAACCCCTTAGGGACACATGACATGTGTGACATGTCATGATTCCCTTTTATTCCAGAAGTTTGGTCCTTAGGGGGTTAAAGGGTATTTTTACCATACAATCAGCATTTATGACCCCTACTGGTCAACAGCAAAACTGTCTTCACATGTCATATACAATTTACCAGCCAATATAAATTACACATAAGATTGTTTTAACCCCTTAAGGACACAAGACGTGTGACGTGTCATGATTCCCTTTTATTCCAGAAGTTTGGTCCTTACGGGGTTAAACATAACCATAAACGAAATTTCAGTACGGGCTCAAATTCAGGTTTAATTCACAATAATTTACATTTCACATCAAGACCAACAGTGGTTCTATCAACACTGCCACCTACAGGTCTGTCAAGTACATTGACAATTTTCATGGGGTTTTACAAACACCAAAACACTTACACCTATAGGTCAACAGACAAACAACATTTCACATACCAATCAGTATCCAACTACACTGCCACCTATAGGGCACTCGGCAGATCTCCAGTGCACTTGCATTTTGCAACACCATGTTCACTGACCCCTACCATTCAATAAGACATACAACAATTCACATAGCAAGCACTATATCAACATCAGGTATAAATACATATATTATTACACAGTAGCAGACGCGTCTGTATATACGTAACTGGTAATATAGTTCACATACATTTTTCACAGCACGCTGCTCACGCAACAGACTTTCCCCTAGCAAGGGGACATACAACATACAAGGTGGGGACAGACCACATTTTCACTTGTACATACGGCACTTAATGGGTTAAGATTGATACATATTTAACCAGTATGGCTACGATGTTTAATATTTACACATCATGGCACTTTACTTTTCACATATACTGTACGTATTAAGATAAGCTTGGTCTATGCCATATTTCCTTATGCCATACGGTTTTATCCATTCAGGTTACAGTTACTACTAAAAAACCTATACGGATTGTCAGGTTCAATACCATACTACCAGGTACATACACCTGCTCACGTAGTTATCCATCTCTTACCTTCCCTGGAATAGTAATAGTGTACTGGCAATTAGGGTTCTAGGGCCCAATAGGTATTACCCCCTTTTTTCTCTGCATTATGCTTCGGTTAGTGGTCCCGCGAGGCCAACACCCCGCCTCACACTCGGAGGCATACACCCCTCGGGCCACTCGTGAGCTAGCCGCCTCGCATTGTATCATAGAGAGGGCCTCACCTGTCACTCCCCTTCCTATTTTCTGGTTACTGTCACCGAGAGGCCAACATCCTGCCACAATGTTCGGTGGCCACACAAAATCCCCTCGCGCCAAGCATAGATAGAGCCTCTCAAGCCACTTGGCAACTAGCAGGGCCTCACCAGTCACCAAAAAACACCAAGCCTAATCGTTTCGCCTTACGGCTTAGCTAGCAAGCCAGTACAAGAACCCTGGGTACAAATAATTGCATCTTTATTGTTATTTAAGTATTTCTCCAAAAGATGGTGAAGAATCACCTCTTCCTAGCACCCCGGCTAGAATTGATACACCTTCAAGCAGAGGAGATGTTGCTAGTCCTGCAGCAATCAGATCCTGGACGATCCCACACATTACCACCGACCTAAGGAGGTGACAAATCCCCTACCCTGCTACAGCAAGGAAAGCAGAGTTATTCAAACTCCTCCATACATCAACGGACAACACGGAGACAGGGGAAGGCCCAGCTACATCAACTCAGGTGACACCCAGGCTATGCTAGCCTCACTCATAAACTCATGAGCCCAAAAATTTTATGACAGACTGGCAATCTTGAGTTGGTCACCACAGCCCTCACAAGGCTGGTCCTCACGTTACTGTACAACCAGCACCAACCGAAACTCGGTTACCTGGTACAATCAATTCTTATGACACACAAGATGTTAACCCTGCACGTATGATCCCAGCACATTGGGGAAGCAAGGCATATATATGTATGATGATGTATCTGTGATGGTCAGATTCAGGGATTCCAGGTAAATCGGGAACTGACCATCTCTTGGATGGGTTGGTATTTGGAATATGTAGAGATGTTTATTTGTGCAGGTACCCATACAGAAGGGGTTCTGTCCCAAACAAATGGACGAGCACTCTCAGGCTCCAGGTACCAGCACCTCTGAACTACCAGAGACGATTGATATGAGTAGTTGCATTGCATATAGACTGTTGCATATATGTTCAAATGGTTCAGAGCGCATGACAAACCATGTGGCCCAATACAACTTACAAATAACGTACTCACCATCTGTACACACCAATGCATTTTCAACACTACTGACTCATCACCCTTCCAGACTTGTAGTAGATTTACTAAAGCTCTGGAGCTTCAAAGGGCTCCCATACAGGTATCATAAACACACCTTCAAGGAATATAGCATGCCCTCACTTACAGTCAGCACAACAAAACCATTGGCTGAAAACACACTCATAGCCAAGATTTGCAGAGTGGTCTTCCAATCTCCACCATTTACAGCATGGCACCAAACACACACATTGGTATTGTCACAAGGAATCTTCCCTTAAACAAAGACTAACCATAGACTTATTGGCACCACACACCTCCGCTACCCCAAGTCTCAACTCCCTTCTTACTATACAACACCATTGATCTACCTTTACAGCTATCACTCAAGCATGGGTTAAAGCTTGGTTAAGTAAGACCAATATCATCAACGCAGTAAACAGCTACCATCTACCCTACACACTGGCACTTACATGGCATAAATTGGGCAATCCTTTCCCTGCTCAACTTTCGAGCTACAGATTAACCTACTATCGATATTCGCAGATACTCTGTGCTGGTTATGATAACATATCCAGAGGCATTACAGTCATACACTATCTAGAAGACTTCTTGTTGCTCAAAGAAAGCATATTTTTCACTAGAAGCCTCATGGCAGCTTAGTCTGGTTGACCACTTGGGCATCCCAGTACCCTATAAGAAACAGAAGGCGCAGACACTATCATCACATTACTGGGCATATGACTTGAGTCGGCATCCATACACGCAAGTTACCACAAGACAAATAGGGAACATTCTCAACTAAATCAATCACTACCTCCTGCTTAGTACTTACAACTACAAGGAACTACAATCCCTACCAGGTTCCTTAATTTTGCCATGCCAATCATACCACAAGACCACGCTTTCACATCCAGAGTACTTTCCCCTTTTTTCCACACTTCCAACATGACGATCAGAGGAGGTGCCTAGACACCTCAGCAACAGCAGACCTGCACATGGGGGGGATTTCTTAACCACTTGGCATGGTAAAAGCATGTTCCTTCCAGGATTGTCTGACACTTCTCCAACCAGATGGTCAGACGCAGCGTATACCACGGGTTTGGCAGCAATCTACCGGGAACAATTGCTTTGGGGCTGTTGGCCATGGCATCCAGGTTTGGAAATTTTTCCACCACTTCAGCCCCTTTGGGAGATCTACCCCATTGTAGCAGCTGCTGTGGCATGGGGTAAATCATGGTCAGGGTCATCAATCCGTTGTTACTCAGACAACTAAGCACATATCATATCATCAACAAACGCCACTACTCATCCATAAGTTCATGATGTTTCTGGGGAACTCACTTGGTTGGCCACTTATCACATTTCACTTTCATGTACCAGACGGGGGTATACATCCCTGCCGACAACTGTCTCATTTATATTCCAGGCATGTTCATCATACGCTTCCTACAGCCGCCCATACAGTCACGTCCACTCTTTCGTTCCAGAGACAAAATCATGGATTAGACATACTCATGCAGCATAGCATGCACTATCCCACCTAGCACTTTCGTCCCATACTTGTAGAACGCATAACACAGCTTTTCACCTGGCTTAAAGAATCTCATTGGAACACGACATAGCTCAACCTGTGTCACAAAATTTCTCCTAAGTTTTGCTTATTTTTGCCACCTTAAACTTAAACTATCTCATACACCATTAATTATATATTTTACAGGCATTCAACAACACATGATAACCTATGGCCAAAACTACCATAAACTTCATGCTATCATACCAGAAAAGAATATACTCAGAGGTTTTCAGGAATCCATTCCCCCACGTTCCTCTCAGAGATTACCAATAGCCATCCAACTGTTCATCCTTATCGGACCTATTAGATCTACAACCATTCAATTATACTACCAAGTCGGCCATTACCAGCTAGGCCTTTTATGCCTTTCTCAGGCCAGAGAATCCACTACCATCACCACCACTCAGACAGATCATTGTCTTCAACGATCCCACGTAAGTAAACACATATATCATTACCTATTGGCTCTACCACATTCCGAAATGAGTCAACATGCACCAACAGTAGAGATAACATACTATCCTACCCACAACAAATGGTGCCCACTTTCGGTCCTAGATTCCTACCTTCAAAATCCTTTCAGGAATTAAATACTGTAATGCATTTAAGGAAATGTCTGGTTAATTTGTATATATTTGTTGACTGTATTACATCTTTGATTATTCATTTTTGCCCTCTTTATTTACAGGCCTACCGTATCGTCGGTATCGGCACACCACAACCGACTTGCTCCCTTTACACTATCCTAAGCTTATGCTGGATCCTTACTCCATATACGGCTATTTTGCCCCTTACACAAGTATTAAGGCAGTTTTGCCTGTATTTGTGGGAGGGGCTTAAATTAATTCACTCCCCTATATAAGGGACACCCCTTACCTGACTCATATCGCTTGAGGTCAGCATCAGAATGACCCTCCCACCCACTCCTCATTTCAACACTTTCTCTTTTCTTTCCATTTACTTTACTTTCTTACTCCTTGGTGGGCCCTCTTTATTTACAGGCCTACCGTATCGTCGGTATCGGCACACCACAACCGACTTGCTCCCTTTACACTATCCTAAGCTTATGCTGGATCCTTACTCCATATACGGCTATTTTGCCCCTTACACAAATATATATATATATATATATATATATATATATATATATATATATATATATATATATATATATATATATATATATATATATATATATCAGCAGCGTCTATTAGAATTGGCAACTGAAACTAAACTATACATATTTAGTTGGACCAAGTTTGCAGACATACGGCTGCCAATTCCTCCTAATTATCACAGCATTTGAATATATTGATATGTGTATTTTCTTGATTAGATTCCAGATTTTAGCTATTCGGTTCCATCCGGACAGGTTGAAATCAGGTCGACATTCTTAGTAATTTGGAGGCTGTGTTCCAAAATCTGGAAGTTGGTCAATCTTGAGAACAATGTCAGGGTTTTGCAATCCGATTGCACTGAGACAGTCATGGATCTTTTTCGATAATCCAGATTGGGGGCCTTCACTCCTTAATGAATAACAGTATGCTAAAAGAAAATGTGCTGAGAACAGCCAGTTTCTCATAAAAAATCCTGTAAGGTGGAAAATGCTTTATTGTGCAAAAATTTTCTACACTCCTTTTTACTGCACGAGTGACGATGAACAAACTGAGAAAAAAAAAATCATATATTTATGCCAGACATTTTATAAAGGTACTGGATCTAAATGTATATTTAGATTTATTTGAACAATATAAAAGTTAAGTTTTAAT